CCCCCCCCCCCCCCCCGCTTTGAGAATCACCAAACGACGATCACGCGGGCGGGGGGAAAGAATGGAGCGTGGGGTTGTACTCGACCTCTTATTGGTTGTTCTAATTAAAATTCGCTTCTGGGTGGAACCAATCAGATGGTTGTCTCCGCCGTGGGATCTTGACAGCAGGCGGAACTCGGCAGCTGGAAGCATAACCAACTTGGCCCGATTCCTGAGGGGAGGTGAGGGGGAGGGTTGGGGGTTGTACCGCTTTTTCCAAGAACGGCGAGAACACCCCGAGGCGGGGAAGCGGGAGGCAGTCACGCCAGGCCTGCCTGGGGAGGGGAGCCAGGCGCGGGAAGTTCACGTTATTGAATAACAAGAAGTTCACTGCCTTCCAAAAAATACCTTCTTCAGCGGTCTCCTGCAACATTATCTTTCCCCTTAAAATATTCTAAATAGAGCCCTAAGGATAACCAGCGCCAGTCAGGGCAAGAATAAATACGCGCTGATCCTAAACTCCGTTTATTTTCTAGTCATTCTCTACCTTCCAAAGATCCCCTTCGTTTCTACCTATCCTTGTAATATTTATTTTTTGGCTTCCTCCCCCCACCCCCCTGCCGCCTCATGAAAAGCTTCAAAACATTTCATAAGGCAATTCAAAACTTCTATGAGGCTTTTAAAAGAATGATTAGCACAGCAATTATTTGCTGTAATAGGCTGGCAGAAAAGATTTTAGAAAATGGAGAAGGGTAACAAGACTGTCTAAAACTGTATTTTAGCCAGCACACTAGCTGGGGAATTCTAGGAGTCAAAGTCTGCCCATCTTAAAGTTGTTGAGGTTGAGAAACACTGGTCTAAAGTATTGTAAAATGGCAAGTTTTAGAGATGCAGAATTCTTAATCTGGATATTAAGCAAAAGCTAGCAAATAAATAGGCATGTAAGGAGCATTGTTTGCGATTTCAACCTTTGCTTGGCTATACTTTGGGAATATGTATATATGTGCAGTATATATAAATATACATAATAGTGCAGTAGAAAACTGTTATCTAGGAATTTAGAATGAGAAGTGCTCTTCTGTTACTTTCTTGCTGTGCTTTTCCTGGACCAGATGATGTTCCTGCTCTCTGTTTTGCCTTGTCAGTCTATCTTTACTTTTGAATCTGTACTCTATGTTTCTGTCATGGCATACTTGACATCAGCAAAATATGTCTGCTTAAAATTTAAGTCTCACAGACTTTAGGAGATATATGATTGACTGCAGCTGTAATCAAAAGATTTAACAGTAGTCTCATCTTTTAAAAAGAAATTAGCATCAGCAATTTCTTGTTGGCAGAGAAAGTTGTTCAGTCTGCCTGTTGGGCATGAACTGCTATTAATGCAAATGGGTATAAGCATAGAAGGTTTTTGGCTTTTTTTTTTTAAGAAATGTTCTTTCATGGAATGATCAACTAAATGACCTTTCTTATAATGATCAACTAAAATTAATGACTGGAAAAATATACATCTGCAAATTGTGGGTTTTTTTGAGTTTATAGTTTGGTCATATCTAGTTTGGCCTGCTTAGAACAGTGAAGTTTTATATTTAATTTTTTTCAAACCATGATGCCATCAATAAAAAGCAATTACTGTAACTGGCCTTTAGCATCAAAAACTAGAGAAGTAAGTTCATAGTCCAACTTTCTGCTACAGATAAGGCTTGGTAGATACAATGCACAGTTAGAAAAGCTGTGTCAGCTTGCTGATTTAGGACTCATTTTATCTGAAAGTGAAGTTTAGTAGGGGAAAGTTCACAGTGCTGGGAACAAAGACTTTTCACTTGGTCTGTGAAATTGCCAGGGCTGCAGCCTCTACAGCTGAAGTTTAGTAGGGGAAAGGTCAACTCTTGCAGAAGAAACAACATCCTCCTCATATTTCACAGAAGTCAGAGTCCACTATTTGGATTTCCTTCTGAATTAATCCTTACAAGATAGAAAAGGTTTGAGTAACTACAATTTGTCTTGAATTGTAACTACAGTTCAACTTGTAAGCACATGATGGCTGTTTGCAGTTTTCTTTACTCATAAAACAATTTGTTTCTCTTATCAAACACTTCCAAATATTTTTAGAGGACATTCTTGCATTTAAAATTGTAATATTTTTATCAAAACTCCAAAGATCCTGAAATATTTTATACAGAAGCGTTTCTCTGTTTTTGCACTTGAATATTTTGCTGTACATTATTACTCTAAAGTAAATTCTGAAGTCTAGTTTCTTCCTGTATGCAGTACTATGCATGTGTACCTAGACATAAGCCCATCTATAATAAATGGGACTTAATTCTAGAAAAGTGCATTTGGAATTGTAGTTCTGCTTGTTAAAGGTGTTTCTTTTTCACATGATCCAGTGCTAGCTCAAATGAGAATCAATTACACTTAATTACATGGAGTTTCTGTAGACACATAGAGTACATATTGCTCTGTAACAGTTTTAAACACTCTAATCCATGTTATTCACAGTTATTTAATACAGCTATAAATTTAAATTCAATAGATTGTGTATATATGCATTCCTATTAATGTTCTTGCTAGTTTGCCTATCCTTTGCTGAACACACTTTACTGTATCCTTTTAGTGAATAAGTAAAGGATGTGTTTGCACATGCATTTTAGTCATGTGTACAACTAATTCACGTTCTTGCAACCAGCACATCTCCCATGCATAGCCCACATGGATGGATCCTCTGTCTATCCATATGGCAAATACAGGGAATCATGAGCTGTGCAGGTTCTGAAGACTGTGAGCATGGATACTTTGTGTGATATTAATAGTTTACTTTCAGTCTTTATTTCCACCTTTTTTTTTTGTTCTGCAAAGAAGTAGACAGATCCAGCAAATTTAACAGGAATCTGAAAGCAAGATGTGTCCTCTGTCACAGACATCTATATAAGATAATAGAAAAATGGATAAGTAACCACTGTATGACAGTAACTCCAATTTATGTACTTTGTGGAAAACTACTTGATTTTATGGTACAGTTGATTTTATTTTGTTTCTGACAAAATATTCAAACCTGATGATTGTAGCTTAACTGTTGAATTTGCTGGGCTGAAAAGACTCAGGGTATTTCTACATGGGGCTTTGTACCACTCCCACAGAAGCATCACAAATATGGTTACCCCCATTAGTATTCTACTGAGGAGCGAGTACATTTTCTTCTAGCTTAGCTTTTCAGCTTCTTGAGATATTGGAGCTGTTAGGGCTTGTGAGTAGGTCAATATAGTGGAAAGAAGGAATAACCCTGAGGAACAGGAGGAAGAGCCGCAACCAAGACAATGGTCAGATAAAAGAAAACTGAGTCCAGGCCAGAACTGTAACCTGAATAAGCATCCCAGACAAGACCCTTCTTAGTTCTCACAAAGATAAAGGGAGGGAGGGTGGAAACACATTCAGACTGCAAGATTCTGTTACTATAACCTTATAATACAAGTAGTATCTGCATGCATGATTTTGGTTTCCTAGTCTGGTCTAAGTTGAAGGGTTGGCAGTTTTCCATTGGCAGGACCAATCTGTTGTATTCTTGGTATTCTCTGAGCTTGGTTGTTTTCTTAGTTTTCTTGATTGCACACCAATCTCTGCTTCCCAGCTTACAAGCTGTTTTAGTGCCCTGGTGCTTTCTCACAGGGCTTCAGAATATCTAGTCAATAAGTAACTGAAGACTAGTGTTTTGGGACCATGATATTCAGTGCAGGAATTGACATCTTTCTGCTGTCCCCGCTCCCCCACACACAAAAAAAGGAAAAAAAAGGAGAGTAAGGTAACACACAACATTCCTAGTAAGTGTTCCCTATCAACAGAACTGGACCAGTCAGATAACTTCAGTCCTTTGCACTTCATATTTTAAAATATGAGAACTATAATATAGAGGAAATTCATAGAACATTCTAAAAAACTTACATAAAAACTACAAATTAACAATTCAGTTTCATATAGTAACTTGTAAAGTGGCATGATAAAACCTACAAAGCACAAACCTTCCTGCATATTACTTATGTCAGTGGACTTATCATAAAGTACTTTTAAAAAAAGACAATTTGCACCCCTCTTTTCTTATGCTTTTTAATGGCTGTAAACTAAAAAAAATGAGAGAGAGAGAGAGAGAATGAAGTTGCTCCTAGACACAGTATTAAAGCTTCTCAAGCTGTTATATTTACAGGAGTATCTTGAAAGCTAGACACTTTACCCAACATCAGAAAAGTTACTCCTTGCCTTTATCCAAATTGCATTATTACTCTACTATATTTGTATATAGTTCAGTGATTTTTAATACTATTTGCTTTTTATGTATAAGATTGTTTTGCAAATATGTTTAGTTCTATGAAATTGTCTTTTCAATTTTATTGGTATTGTCTGGGAAACTTACAGAAACTTCATT